CACCTCGAGCACCAACACCCTCAGAGTCCGCAGTGGCCGGTAAAGGAAGCGCTGACGGCTGCTGCGGAGGCTGTGAGGACGACTGTGGGGAAGGAAAAGAGACCTGGGGGGTACCGACCGGGGGGGAAGGCAGCGTGGGACACACCAGACAAAGCGGGAACAGGGGGGGGTACCGGAGGAGCAGGGGCGGGAGGAGGAGGAGCTGGAGCCAGGAAGAGGGGAGGGGGGGGAACCGGGAGACCTCGACAGGGGTACCGGACGTAGTAGGGGACGGACTCGTCGAAAAGGACGTCACGAGAGTCAAAGCACTAGTGGGAGGGAGGGTGGTAAAAGGTGAAGTCAGAGGAGTCCTCTGGGAAACCAAGGAAGACACAGGGGACGGCGCGAGGTGAGATCTTGTCCGCAGAGGTGTCGCGGACAAGAGCCAAGCAGCCCCAGACACTAAACCTCGACGCAACACCAGGGGACCCTGTCCAAAGACTGGTCGGTGAAGCCCCTGGCCGTGAGACGCGAGGCCAGAGGTTCAACTGGTGAGCGGCGTACCGAGACGCAAAGGGCCACACAAAATGGGACGTGGGGCGTGGATCATGGAGGTGCGGGCAATCTCCATGACCAGGCCTAGGCGGCGCTCAGCAACCCCATTCTGCTGTGGAGAGTCTGGAAGAGTCCAGGACTGGGTGATGCCCTGCTCAGCACAGAATCTGGCGAGAATGCCGGAGCGAAACTCACCCCCACGGTCGGAGTGGAGACAACTGACACGACGACGGCGAGTACTCTCGGTGGCGAGCAGCCACCTGATCAGCGTGGAAGTCACGTCAGAATTCTTCGCCAAAGGGAACACGGTAGTGTACTAAGAGTAGTCGTCAACGACCACCAGAAAGAAACTCTCCCGCTCAGGGCCAAGACGGCTAGCGGGGCCCCAGACGTCTAAGTGGAGTGTCTCGAAGGGCTCAGTGGCCGGACGGAGGAGGAGGAGTGAGGGGTGGCGCGCAGCCGACCCTGGACACAAGGACCGCACAAAGGAGCTGGGGACGGCGGGAGCGGCGGAAGGACACGGTGGAGGCCTAAGACAAGACGCTGACTGGACATAGCGCAGAGACGGGTGACCAAGACGGTGGTGCCACAGAACGGTGGGGTGGGCAAGCGACCGACACAAGCACGACGCAGCAACTAGACTGGACACGGCAACCTGACTGGACCTGGCTACCTGGTGGGACGGAGGAACCTGACGGGGGTCGGTGTGGAGGGTGTACAGACCGGAGCCCGGCTCCTGGCGAAAAGTGGCCAAGGGGGCGTACGTGTCACCGTCCACACAGACCGCGGTGTCACCAGAAGGCTCAACCCAGACCCCGACGTGCTGTCTCGCCAGGGGGCCCACACCAACCAGGTTCCTAGAGAATGTAGGAACGTGGAGGCCAGTCAGGGAACCGGAAGGAGCAGCTGGGCACGGGAGCGTAGTGGCGTGAGTCGCAATGACCGGTCCCGAAGAGGGATCGGCCAGTGCTATGGAGACTGGCGCCGGTAGTGGAGAGAGAGTCGTGCGGTCGCGAAAGAAGCACTGCGTCGCTCCTGAGTCCAGTGTGAAGGAGAGAGACGCGTCCGCCGAGGGAGCACCTGTACTAGTAGCTAAACAAGATCCTACACCAGCACCTACTCTAGCAACAGGCAAAGATCCTACGCTAGGTACAGGCAGGTACACAAATCCATGAGCACTATAGTCAACATCAGCATACATGGCATAAGACCTAGCATCATCCATAGTCATATCAAAAACAGAGATACCACGAGCAAGAAGTGTCCCCCAGCGTGGCGGCGGGGGAGCGCAGGGGTCGTGGTGCAAGCGGTAGAGGTCGTCGAGACGACTGAAGCAGCGTGCAGCAGAGTGGTCAGGGCGGCCACAGTACGAGTCCCTACGTGCGCGGACCCGTCAGGATCCAGTACTCACAGGGACCAACGTCGTGACCGGCCAAGCGAGCGGGGTCCCATTGCTCGGGAAACCTGCAGACCTCCACTGCTGCGGAGGGCCCCACTGCTGCGGCTGCGGCTGTGGCGCGCGCTGCTGCTGGCCCTATCGCTACTGCTGCTGTCCCTGCCGCTGCTGCTGTCCAGGCGGTGGCAGCTGCTGAGAAGTCGGCTGCTGCTGCTGCTGGAACCCCTCACCACCAATAAAAAACTCCACCGTCGAGAGGAGGGCCGTCAGGTCCCGAGCCACCCCCACCACCACTCCCACCACCAGCTCCACCACCACCGCCACTACCCGCACCACCCCCAGTACCCCCGCCGCCTTTCCTGCCCTTCTTACCGGCCTTGCCACGTTTCTGTCCGCCAGAGACAGAAACAGCCGCCGTCTCCTCAGAGGCAGAAGACGCGGGGGTGGCAAGGGAGGCAGTGAAGGTGGGAAGCTGTGGTACCGCACACCCCTCAAAAAGACGAGGAGGAGGCGCGGAAGAGGCAGAGGCAACAGCGAGGAGGTTACTCTCGATCTTCGAGAGAGCGGTCTCAAGAAGATCGATGGTAAGCTCAGTGGGGTGCTTCAAAAGAAGCGCGTCGTTGGCTGTGGCTAGGCGGTCAGGGATGCGACTGACTAGCCAGTGAATAGTGAGCCACATAGGGGGCGGGGCAAGGGCAAGCTGGTCCTCAGTGCAAGCAGCGCGAAAGCGAGCGTCAAGGGAGCGAAGGTGGGTAACGAGGTCAGAGACAGTCTCAAAGGAGGCGAGGTCAGGGTAGATAAAGGGTACGAGGAGGCGACTGACTGAAGTAGTGGAGGGAGTGGAGTAGCGATCAACAATAGCCTTATACAGATCTGCAGCAGACTCGACCTGAGTGAAGTGGACTGCCTCTGTCGGCGGGAGAAGGTCGGTCAGGGCGAGGCAGGCAGCGGCGTCACGAGACTCCCACACGTCGCGAGCGAGGAACAGGGGCTGGTACTCGGCCTCCTGCTCAGGAGTAGGCGGTGGGGTAGTGGGCAGCGGGCTAGGCTGCTGAAGAGCAGTCTGAGTACCGGACGCGTGTGCGAACAGGTGCACGCCATCCTGCCGCTGGCTCTTAAGGTGGCGCTGCGCCTGCGTAAGCCACGTACTAAAGTCAATCGGTCTCCCCTCAGGGTCAAAGCGAAGTACTCGGGAGGTCGCCATAAGGGGCGAAAGTGGGAGAGCGCGGCTGCCAGCCGCGGGAGGGTGAGACAGTCAGTGGCGTGTGGGCAGGCGCGCAGGCGTGAAGGCGGGCAGGCGGCACGGCATGCGGAGAGGCGGGCGGAGCGGCGCGCTGGCTGACGGGCGGCGCGGCGCGCTGGCCGGCGAGCGGCGTGGCGGGTCTACGGCGGGCAGCGCGGCGCGCTGGCGTTAGCGTTGGCGGGCGCGTTTGCGGGGCGCGCTGGCGTGGCGCGCTGGCGTGCGCGCTGGCGTGCGTGCTGGCGGGCGCGCTGGCGGGGCGCGCTGGCGTGCGCGCTGGCGGGGCGCGCTGGTATGGCGCGCTGGCGGGCCTGCTGGCTAGCTCGCTTGCGGGCCTGCTGGCTAGCGCGCTTAGGGCAAACGAGGGGGGAGGGGGGGGGGGGGGGGGGGGGGGGGCACACCAAGGCTAGAGGAGCCGTAAGTCTAGGAACGGCGGAGTCTAGGAACGGCGGAGACTAGGAACGGCGGAGACTAGGAACGACGGAGACTAGGTATGGCCTGGGAACGGCGAACCTAGTGCTGATACCATCTGACCTAGTGAAAACAGCGGAATGAGTTAGATTGATTGTGTTGGGGTACAAATGCATAACCCTAACTGTCTGTACACCATATAGCATGACCCACTAGAGGCTATAACATTTGACAGTTTTTGTCATGTAGTCCCACCCAAGCGTTGCTGGTACCGTAAAATTCCGGGGTTTTTTTTGTAGTTGTGGGAAAATTTCTGTCAACTTGTCAGAATTTCTTTTGATGTACAAGTTCGATTAGGTTTTTGAAGTAAAAAAAGTCTGGAAATTCAGCATTCCAAAGAAAGGCCCGAAATTTACCTTTTTTTGTTTTGTTTGTTTTTTTTTTTTTCCTTTTTAACCCTTTAGAATCAGTCAAATCAATCAAATCAGTGTAGAATTCCTGGTATATGAGGGCATGCTGTGAATAATCCCCTGAGATATCATAAATACAGGGTATTTTATCTCATTAATGTAACTTTAATGCAAGGGGATGCTAAGTTTGCATATGATACAATAAATATTTGCTGGCGTTATCCGCTTCACTTATTCGAGATTGATTCAGAGTTAAAAGCTGCGACTTTAAACGAATCCATCCGTTGTATGGTCCCTGTGGTGCGATTGGTTTTAGTTTTGCACGTCAATCCGGATTGGTCAGGACGAGCCGCAGGCTGAGGATGGATGGAAACGACACAAATCCCGCGCAAGTCGTCAATTTCATTTTCTTCTCACTTTCTCCCAAAACCTCTCGTGTCACCCACCATCTGCCTCCCCCAATCCCTGCGGTGGTGACGACGGCCCGTTGAGTGCGTCAGCTGAAATTGCTCTCGCACAAAACCGCAGCAGTACAAGGTCGCACAGTTCTGCTTTACAACACGCTTTACAATGCTCCCAGATCAAGTGCATCACACCGTGCAGGTCATCTGAGTCTAGCGGACGCCTTCACCAGGGCCCTTATTGCAGCAGCTAAACGTTGTAGTATTTCCCGTCCAAGTGTCGAGGCTTCACAAGAAAGGCAACTGTTCGCGGAATCTCACGACCGCGCAAATTGAATCGAGTTAGAAGGTCCATTAGGAAGCGAATTAGATCCACACGTTCCCGCACCATGTCGGCTGCAGCTCGAGTTGTCCGAATCGTGGCTCTCTCGTTGTGCCTCCTTCCCATTGTCTCAACTGCGCAAGGTGATACCCTGAAAACACGCCACTGTTTTATCTCTCTCTATCCCAGCATGCGAAATCTCCCCTGCCAGTTTAAACAGCACGTAAGCCTCACGCGTCTCTCCCTCTCTCGCTCCCTTGAACCCCGTGCATCGCACCGTCCTCATCAGACCGGCAACTATCTCTGCGGGGAGCATCGTCGTCGTCGGGAGGAGGCGGGTTGCCAGACGGTTCTTCGTGCCGCCTGGACTCCTCGCTTAGGCCCGCCGGGGAACCGTGCGCCGCCTCGCCCTTCGTGTCCGTGCATACCACGCTCGCTCTCACTCCTTTTTTCCTCACAACTCTCCGGGTGTCTTCAGCTTCCCTAAAGCACATTCGCATGTCCCGTGTCCTCCCCACACATATCCTCCGCACACATATCAACGCCCTTGCCGTGTGCGCCGCGCCATGGTCGTGGTGCATGGTCCACATCTCGCCGCTCAATCGTCGCTGTGTGTCGTGTTGCTGGTGTGCGCGCAGGTGCGTGGTGACGAGAGTGCCTACAGCCAAGGACCCCTTCTACAGGGGCGTCTGCAACTCCTCCTATGCTGGTATTCTCTCTACCCTCCCCACTCCCTCTCAACCTCCCCAGACGCCCGGAACTCACTCATTCTGTCTTCATCCTAATTTAAATCGCCTCCCTCCTCGTACCTACCTCCTTCCACGTCTCCTGCTCCACAAATCCACCCCTCTGCAACTCCCTTCCCCGCTCTGGATTCCACAAAATCTCTAGCCAGCGTTCGCCTTCGTTGCTGCTTCCGCCGCCTCACGCCTTTCTTATTCCGCTGCCCAGGTTCACCGCACTGCACCTTTTTCAGCCAGCCATACGCCGTGGGCACGACGGGCGTGAGCAGCAATCCAGCGTGCCACCGCTGCGACTGCAACGACCACCCCGAGAACGCCGAAGCCACCGCGCGGGCCGCAGCGTTTGCAGCCGACACCCTGTCGAAGCACGTGGGCGACACGGGCATCCTGTCCGTGTCCGCGCAGTCGTCCCTGCGCTCCATCCTCGCATCACTCGGCTCCAACACCGCGCGCTGCGACTGTCAGGTCATCGGGCCGTGCTACGTGGACTGGAAAGGCAATCAAGTGAGCGGCCCGGACGGGGTGATGTGCCCAGAACGACAGAGCCGCTGCGTGATTCAAGAAGTGGGCGGGGGCGGCGCGGACAAGCAGGGCCGACCCATAGACGCGGGAACATGCGAGTCGGCGGGCGAGCTGAACACTTGCATGGTGGCGGGGGACGGGTGGGGACCCAAGTACTATGCACACGGGGTGCAGGGACTACCGGATGCCTGGACGAGTGCAAGCGGTGCCGCTGCAGCGATGCAAACCAGGTGGTGGGATGCGTGAAAGTGCCCAAGTGCAAGTCAGGCGGGGGAGGCGGGTGGGACGATGATGCAGCTGCTGCTGCGGATGCTGCAGGGGCAGCGGCCGTTGGCGATGTGTATGTGGAGGGGCCCAAGGCATGATAAGAACATATTCGCAGCCGTGGAACTGGTGGTAGCTCATGCAAGCATGCCACTTTGGCAAGCAATTTTCGCAGACTTAGCTCAGCAAAAGTTTACTGTGAGAAGCTCGCGAGCGCTCGTGCACCAACGTGCACGCGGAGGTACCGATATGTAGTCATAGTCACGTAGCCATGTCATCCTAGTGTGATGAATATGTACTAGATCTCTTACATTGTTCTAATTCGAAAAGCATTGCCCCACTAATACCGTATAACCCCAGATATAGGCGCATGTGCGCTTATGATAAAACCGGTTTTTTTATAGGGGGGCGCTTGTAATTGAGTCACGGCCATAAGCGCCGGCGCTTATATCATGGTAAAAAATGAATTTGTAATTTAAAAGTACCAAATCGAAGCCCGCAGTAAGGCGAACACAATTGTGTAACGTGCGCGTGATGTAATGCATGAAATCCCGCCGAAACCCACCGCGCTTCGATTCCCGACCGCACAAACCCCGTCCAGGAGCAGGGAATCTGCCAGCGCTGACGTGAATATTGCCATGCGGTCCAATCAGGGTACCATGCGGTGGCAGGCAGCTGCATTTCACCCGAACCATCGAGAAGGCGGTGGAATGACCTGCCAGCGCATCATGTTCGTGCCACGATACCCTCCTCTCCGGGTTCAGACAGGGGGTACCCGTCTCGCCCCGACGAGGACCCCGAGGCGCAAACCAGCAGGGGTCCTTTTGAATCGGTCATTTGTGCACCTTTTCTCTCGGTTTCTTGTTTCGTTTCTTCTTCACTCCCGCCTGTCTGTGGAAGCCATGGCGGAATTCAGCGGCACCCACTTCTTGTTCAAGAAAAAGCCTACTCGAAGGCCCGCGTTTACAGTAGACGCTGACGGGTGGTGCACCCGTATCCCGCCAGATCCACCAGAGCCACTACAGCCTCCTGCGCCGCCTGCGCCTCCTGCACCTCCTGCTCCTCCTTCGCCTCCTGTTCCTCCTTCGCCTCCTGCGCCTCCTCTTCCTCCTTCGCCTCTGGGTCATGTGTCACCGCAACACGCTGCCAATCAGCCCGTGCTCACGCTGCTGCTAACATCGGCGTTTGACGAATTCCTGTCAGAACCGGAGACTAACAACGCGCCGGATGTGTACGTGCGAGTGGACCACGTGCCTGGAGGACGTTGGGGACAATCCGAAGATTGCCCTTGCGACGAATCTGCAGTCGGCGCCGAGGGTGACACGGAGGATGCGAGCGGCGCTGACGGCGCCGAGGGTGACACGGA